AGAGAAAGAGTGAGAACACCAGTGGCTTGCCTCGGAGCGAAGCGAAGCCAACAAACTCACGTCAGTTCGAAGCTGGAGGGATGCCAGCGTTCTTCGCGCGTTCTTCCACGGTTACCCTTCCACGGTGTGCAAATTTCTCGAAAAAGTACGAAACTCCCTGCCGCGGGTGACCCTCGAGTGATCACGGTGCCACGATTCCGAGTTTCGGCCGAGAAAGATCGAGCTCGAAGGATAAATCGGAAATTAGCAGGAGAGCGTTGGTTCGGATCGGGGGAAAAGCGATGGACGGCGTCGAGGAGAGCTAGGGTTTAGGGCGAAGAGGAAAGTGGACAAAGTGTAAATCGAAGAGGTTAGGAAAGGACTGGATGATATGAGCCGATCGCAATTAAGGCGGTTAACGGAGTCGGGAATACCTGTCCGGCGTCGGGCCAAAACCGGTACGAGCGTTCTCCACGCGATATAGCGCGGCTTTGCCTCCTCCACCTCCTGCCTCGTGGCGCATGCAGCCTTCGAAAGGTGCATACACCTTCGTCGAGTCTGCGCCTCTTCGTGCCACACTGTACCTTCTTCTTCTTCTTCTTCTTCTTCTTCTTCTTCCTTCTCCTCCTCCTCCTCTTCCTCCTTCTGCGCCTCCTCTCCTTCGAACCCGATCGTCCAGTGATATACCCCGGTTCTTCGAGTGCTACCGTTTCGCGAGTGGAATAATCTGTGCGTGTTGTGCGCCGAGCGTTCGTGGGAATGTGGAAAAGAGCGCGGGAACAACGCTCGGACGAAGAATTCTGACAGGAGCAAGAGGACCGACAGGATGATACACGGATTAATGTAAGGGAGAGGAAAAGATCAGAGATAGAATAATGGAGAAGACCTTCGGATGAACGCGCATTGAGATTCTTGGCTCGCGCGTTTGTCGAGCGAAGAATATTACCGCGAGCTGCGAGAAACGTCCATGAGGTTTGAACGAAGGACGAATCGCTGAGAAGCCACGCCATGAGAATCCTCAGAACGCTGCACTGGTAGGTTTCTTCGACGACTCGTTCATCCTTCCAACTTCTTCGCTACGATATACTACCGTTCTTCTCTCTTCGACAAACTTACCTATTCGAAAATAAATTCTATACGAATGTTCCTTCGACGACGCTATACTACTATTCGAAGGCTCCGATTATACGAAACGAGGAATTTAACCGAATCGTATCGATCAAAAGATCCTACGCAGGAAAATAGTTTTTCTTCGTAAAATACCTTTTATCGTACACTCGATTTTTTCCTACAATCTTACGTCCGTAGGCCGTAAATTAATTACGCCTCTGAATTATTAATCGATTTAATCGGTATTAATCGATTTTCCCGGAATCTCATCGAAGATGGATCGCGTCGTGAACGTGGGTTAGGTCAGCAACCTCGAAATAGTAACGTTCGATTTTCCCGAACGTTTGTCTAGCCTTCTAATACCGATAATATCGCGTAGCACGAACAGTCGGGTGACGGTGCAGTCGAATCTTTTCCGTGCTTCCCGAAGAGCATACGACAACCGCGTATGTTACCGCTTCGTGATTCTTCCATGATCAAACGCGATCTCTACTCTCATGCTCGTATTGTCGGAAAATAGAAAAAGACGATCGACGATCGACGATCTTATCGAGATGACCCAATTGCCAGGATACGTAATGTTCGATTTTATTCGATTCCGACTGCATACGTTACAGGATACGTCGTATTCGGAATAGCCTTCTATTCCTCGCAAAGTGGTTTAGTTTTTCCAACAGGCAACGTTTCTAGGCCTGAAACGAGTGAAATCTCCGAGCAGGCTCGTGAAAGGAACACGTGGAATGGTTTTAGCGAATTCCTTGCAAGAAGAGGCCGGCCAAAGAGAGTTCGGGTGCTGAAGAGGCGCAATGCCATTAGGTCTGTTCAGCTTTTGAACCTCTTCGAGGCGACACACGGGGTACTTGCTGGTACGGCCTAAGACAAAAAGCAGATCCTCCTCTTTGGACCGTACGATTCCTCGAAACCGAAACATCGACTCGATTTCTTTGAAAATAAACCTGCCTCTTAGCTTTTCGACGTTTCAACGATCGCTTCTGTTTCTCGTTTGCCGAGAAAACCAGACGTTTCTACGATGAAAGAATCGATTTAAATAACTCCGAATAAAGAAAAATGTCGAAGTTAATTCGATCGAAGTTGATTAAATCGAAGTTAACGGTGAACGCGGAATAAGAATGATAAGGTTCGAAATTCCGTTTGCGAGTCGCGTAAGATGACATTGACCGTCGAGACCTTGAAGAAAAGATAATAAGGTAAACAGGAAACGGGTAAAAAGAGAAAGCTTGGCAAGAAAGTGGAGGATTGTGAAAAATTGCTCGGTCAGCCAGTTACTACGGATAAGTTGCTAATGAAACTGGTGAACGTAACTGAAATACGAAAAAGAGGGGAAAAAAGGACACTTTCCCCGAAGCCGACAGAAGAAGAACGGACCTCGTTTCTCGTTGCTCGGTTTAGAATGCGTTTTTCCAACAAGTACCCCGAGTCGAATCGAGGCTCGTATGGTCGTTTCCTTAAACAGTGATCCTTGTTGAAAAGCGTGTAACCCAGATATCGTTTTCCTGCTTTAAACGGAGAATTAGAGAGCTGCTCGAGTTTTCCATCGCGGTAGCCAACGCGTAGTTAGCCTTGCGCTTTAGTTTTAATTTCGATCTATTCGATGTATCGTAGGTTACGCGAGCTTAGTGAATATATTTGCGAAGTAGCCCCGGTAGTATCGTAGCCTAATGTCTGTAGCGAAGTAATCTCGAGAACTCGAACAACTTTTCGATTCCTTTTACTCGGAAGAATCTGCTCTCTCGTGGAAGTTTTCTCGGACACCCCGTAAATTCCGTCGCTTTTGTTCGAACGGGCAAACCCTCCCCCCCGACCGCGGTATTGTCTCGTTCGAGCCGGTGAATTCACGTGGCCAGCGCTTACGAACAAACCGTAATACCGTCAACGTCTCTTGTTCTACGTCCCCTTTCCGTCTGTGCCCTTGTAACTGGATCCACGGGAAAAATCCTATTCAATCAGCGACCATAGCGTTCGAAGAACTCGTATTCGTTCCTTTTTTTTCCTTCGTCGAGCAACCACGCCGAACACCGTTTGCTCTCTCTAACCGATACAACAACCATTCCTTCGTTCGAAATTTTTCGACCGATCTTAACTCGGAAAACTATACGTTACACTTTCAGATAGGAATCGATATCGGTCGCGTTTTAAAAGCTAATACCGATAATTAATTCGTCGACGACCAATGCGCTTGCACGAGCGCCAGTGGTCACAGAATCGAGATCTCGGGATCGAATAACCAGCGTTCGATGTTCGTCTGAAATTTCTATCGCGTTCCCATTATCGCGCTAGCAATGGCTCGGGCTTGCCGATTATTAATTATTTATCCAACCATCCTTTCTTCGTCGTTGCTTTATTTTATTTTCCCTCGATTAACTTGACGCGACGGAAGATTCAGTTTTCGGACTGAATTTTTCACCGGCAAATGGTCGCACCGACCATTTGGAAATCGATGTTGTTCGTACGTCACTTCGATAGAGACGGGTGTTTCGAATTTCTCACGATTTCCCGCCACGACCTTAAATACCGTATTATTTTTTTTTATCGCCCCGTTCACAGGAATGGGGGGAAAGAAATCGAAAAGAGCAGGGTTAGTTGTAACTCCCCTTATCCAGTGTCGCGTAAATTTCCACTTTCACGGAGATTCCTCACGCGCAGGTTCGCCACTACCATCCATAGCTTTCCATCTTTTTATAACGGTGCCTCTCTGTTTTTTTTTCTTTTTTTTTTTACCGCAAAAACAACCCTCGTCGAACGACGTTTCGTCGCGGAATAACTTTTCGTCGCTAGAATTCGCGCTATTACCGCGTGTTCGCGTGTGAAATTTCGTCTAGTTTTTATACCGCAGCATCTCAAACGCTGTTTAATATCGGAGTATGTTCCATCGTGAAATAATTACTCGTGAAATTGCGTTTACGGTGGCGAATTTTGAACGCGGCGCGTAACAATTGACGGCAACAAGATGAAGTTGAAGCGGCGGGGAATACGGTGGGGAATACGGTGGGGAATACGACAGGGAAGGCGAGAAGGTGCGAATCTTAATCCTGAATGATTGTTTCGCGGCGGTAAGTGGCTGCAATTTTAGCTGACCTCGATCGCGATGTCAGGAAGCTCGTTATCTCCTCTCGGCTAATTCCTTTCTTCCATAGAATTTCCATGTTTGTGTCGAACGGTTCCCACAACACCTGGCTGGGCATCGCTTTTTCATTAACTCTTACCTCCGCGTCGCGCTCCTTTCCAATCGCGTAAACCTATTAAATAATTCTACCAACGGTTTTGTCAATTTTTTTTTCGCGCGAGGATAGGTCAAACACTTTCTCCACGTAACCGAGAATCCTCTGTCGCGTTACTGTATTTATCGCGCCTTACTATACATGCGCGATCAATAGCGATTCAATAGCGATTCAATAGCGAATGTCGAAGTTGGCGATTTCCGAGGATTTGGAATTTCGTATACGTATACTCTGTAGAGACTGCGTAATACTTAGTCGTAAAGAATCGTTGCTATAGTTCAGTAATTCTGGTATTCGGTTTTTTATAATCGACGTAGTTCGAGATCACCTTAACCCTTTCGACGCTTCGCTTCGCGCGCGTTATAATATACGCGACATTTATCTCGTTTTCGATATCGTAAAACTCGTAACAAATAAGTTAGTTATAAGCAAGAGGAGATATCGCGTACGTTAAAAATTAGGCTAGAGATCGTGGAAGTCCGAAGCGTCGTTGCCAACCCGCTTTGTTCTCGAAATATCAGGCAATTGGAACAACCCCCTTGACTAGCAAGAGGGCGGCCAACGTTCTCCAAAGTCCTCGACTAAAATGTCGCGAAGAAAAGAATAAGACGCGGCCCTCTCGTTGCATCGAAAATCGTTAAAAGGCTCACCTCGATGTTGTCGCGTTGGCAGGTCCCGAAGGCGTAGCGGCGTGACGGACATACACTCGCAGCAGCAACAGCAACACCAGCAACAACAACAACAACAACAGCAGCAGCAGCAGCAGCAGCAACAGCAGCAGCTGCAGGAGAACAACAACAGCAGCTCGCGGGACGGGAAGAAATCTGCGGAGGGGCTGGTTCCCGATGAGATGTGGGCCCCTGGCGGGATAGGGCCTCACCGGGAGCTACCAGTCGATGTGCCCGACACCCTTCTGCAGAAGGCCTATCCCAACAAGGTAAACAACTGCTCCTCCGAGTATCGGAACGAGCTTCGTGGTCCCCGTAGCGCTAGCGACCTCGATCACCTCTCCCTGAACCTTAAAAACGCCGACGCCCTTAAATCGTCGACGGACGTGACCGACGACGCGACCTCCAAGAGGAGGAGGAGGAGGAGGAGGAGGAGGGGGAGGAGGAAGAGGAGGACGAAGGAGCGAACGAGGAGAGTACCGGTCAAAAAGAGTCGAGCGTCGACGCGGACGTCGAGGAGGATTACCCGTTCGCCAAAGAGGATTATCCAACGATGCTGAAGACGTGTAGCGACGACTCGGCTAGCCCCAGAAGCTCCTCCGGACGATCCGACAGCACGGCTCCTCTCGACACTAGCCTCGTGCTGAGACACGCCAAGACTCGGANCAAGACTCGGAGTAAAGATTCGCCCGCTTACGACGCCCGAAGGATAGATCTCGGCTCTCCGTGCAGACCAGTTGTCCCCGATATCAAGATAACGCCTCTGTTCCCTAGAAATAGAGATACCACGTCGTTCGACAACCCCGCGTACGGTCTAGCCGACCTGCAAGATCTGCAGGGGTTGCTGATGAGGTCGGACGAGGTGTCGGATCTGACGCGATTGATCGACGAACAGTGTACCGTTTCGAGGATCCCACGGGATCCGGAACGAGCGTCTCCGATCGGGCCGCGAGCGGAAACCGTTCCCTCGGGCAAGTCCGCGAAGAGCTCGAAGGCTCGCAGACAGACCGAGGCAGAACGCTCGAAACCGAAAGCGAAGAGGAGCGTGGACGCGGAGGAGCTGATACGAGCAGGCTCCAGCGAGGATTTACTGGGCATCGAGTCGGGCAGCAGTCTTTCCTCGTCCTCGAGGCAACGCCCGAAGAAGAAGAGACACCAACAGATCTCCAGCGGATATTCGACTTTGAGAAGCGACGCGTCCACCGACCTCGAACACCTCGATCGGAGTTTCCTCGTGGTCGCGGGCAAAACGTACCGCGAGGTGGCCGTCGATTGTCCGCCCGATTTCGTGCCCGTGACCAAGTGTCACCCCGTTTATCCCCCGCCGAACAAGACCCCGAACAACAGCAAGCACAACACCCTCGAGCCGAAAAGGGAGCGCGCGGCCAAAGGAACCGCGTTAACGGGCTGCGGGGATGACGGGAGTGGCCCGTGCATCGGAAACACCGCTATCACCACTACCACCACCACCACCACCACCACCACTACCACCACGATCCTAGTAGCCTCGTCACCAACACCTCGCATTCCCTCGAACGACCTTAGTAGCTTCGCTGCTATAGCTAGCGGCGACGACGCTAGCGCCACGGAGAACGTGGTCGCGCGCACGCTAGACAGAAAACGCGACTCCTCCTCGAAGAAGGTAAGCGCCAGAGTCAAGAATTTACTCGTCGACGGCTTCCTCTCTATCGTGCACCAGCAGCCGCGACACGGCAAAACGCTTCTACACGCTTCCAGCACGCACCATCGCTCCTCTAACAGCTCGCTGCTGCTCTCGGCCTCTAATAATCGGCTTCGACGCTATAGCAACTTCTTGCCGGACGATGCTTCCTCTTCGTTCTTCTTGTCCTCTCGCGAGTCGTTGCTTTCGAAAGAGGACCCGGTTGCTCGCGCCACCGTCACGGCTTATCTTGCTCCTGCCAGAGTCGTGTTCTCTAACGGAAACTCCTCGACGAACTTGTCCTTCGTTCAGGAGAGCAATCAAAATTGTCGGAATTCTTTGCGCGAGTACGGTCGTCCGTTCGACGATTCGCCCGACACGCAGAATCGGACAAACTCGCGGCTCTCTTTCGAGTACAGACGTTCGAAATTTCTCGATCGTTCGACCGATTGGCGGACCAAAAGCGAACCGGAATTGTCCCGTTTTCGCGTTCGCGATCTCCCGAACGAACTTCGCGATTGCTACTCGGACAGCAGCCGCTTCGTCTTCCGCTCGAATCGTCGTAAAGTCGTACTCGATCGCGTTCGAGCAACCGGGGCAGCTACGAAACCGTCGCAGGATCGTGCGAAGATACCTACGTACCCCTTGTACGAGAACCAACGACGCTTCGAGGATCATCATCAGGTAAAGCTTGCTTTCCCATCTTTCCTTCTACGCAGCTTTTTCTCTGACATGCGCTCTTTTTCTACAGTCCTGTCACTCTCTTACGACGCTTACGAGCATATCTTTGTAGAAAAACCGCGTCAACTAAGAATGGATAAACGAAGGTAAAAGAGCGCATATCGACTCTAACCGAAACTCTAACGTTTACTCGCGATCTTCCAGAGAATGTATTCCGTAACGCACGCGCTTGCTCTCCATTTTTCTACTCTCGCCTCTATCCCTGTTCTCTCTTTTTCAATTCTCTGGCTGCGTTGTTCGCTTCCGTGTGTAGCCAACAATACGAACGGCGTGTCTCTCGGACTTGCTCGAGTCATCGTTCTCGATGACTCGATTAAAAAAAGAATACGCGAAAGAACAGGATAAACGAACGAACGAACACAGGGAAGAAGAAAAGAAGTCTTTCCGGTAGTTGAGATCGCTTGGCGAAGGACTTGCCGAAGGGACCTTTAACGCGAGCCGTGTTTTCTTTGAAACGGATTTTTAGGCCGGTCTGAACGGAGTGAAACCTGCCATCCCTCCGAGAGATCAAAAACGGGCACCTGCCAGACCACCGAAAGATAATCTACGTTTGTCCGCCACGCAGAACAACAATGTGGAGTCCACCGATAACGCGAATGCCGAGCCCACGCAGCAGCAACTGCATTCCATCAGGAAATATCAGGTACCGTGTGATCCGTCTTTTTTGGAAAAACTACCTACGCCGTACCAATATTTTATACTGGATCCCTCCTATTGTTCGTTTCAGAGATCAAACTCCCAACAAGACGTCGTCACGGTCGTCGGCTCTTTGATTTTTCTGATAGTTTTCGCTACGAATCCGTTCTCCTCTCCCGAGAACATATTTCACGTTTCTTATCTTCTCTCGTAGAAATGATGTATTCGCGAGAATATGCGTCGAGAGAGAGAGATTAAATATCTTTTCGGAAGAGTATGGAGTCAAGAACGGATAGATGGAAATCGACGAGTCAACGATCTTGGCGCCTTCTTGTTCTCTTCTTACGGATGCTACGTAAGATTCGCGTTAGTTAAACGAATAGTTTGTGATTCTTCAAATTTTTCGCGTGCCTGACTTAACGTGCATCGAACGATATAAGAATCTTCTATGAATCGATTTTCGAAGGTAGCGCAAAGAGAATGGTTTTTCGTCGTTGGAATTCATCGAAACGTTCGGTTCGGTCTCGAAACGATTCGCGAAGCCGCAGGAATAATTGAATCGTTGACCAAGGCATTTCGGTGGGAATGTAAAAAGTATCGAACGCGTGGAAACGCGTGGTATTCCGCATGAATAATTTACCGTTGCGTAACATTATAAAGGCATAAAAGCGTAGGACAGATCGTGAACAATCACCAGGTTACAACAGGAAATTACGGATCCCGGGAAGCCTCGCCTCTTCGGTAGAAATTTTCCGAATTTCTAACAAATGTGCAGTAACAACGTTGAATCGAAGTCGCTGTTCGTAACTCGTCGAGTTTAAAATCGAGAGTATCGTTACGGAGAAACACCAGAAACAGTCTCGAGTCCGTTTGCCTCGGATAGAAAAAATTCTCCGACCACCTCTAAGTGAAGTGTGGTCTGGAATGTAAAGAACCCCGTGCCAATGGTCTAAGATTACACGGCTCCAGTCTAACGTTACGAACTTTCGATAGGTGTAGAGGCTGATTCAGGCAACTAGCATTCGTCTCTACCGATCGTTTTCCATGTCCCGCCACCTCGGTTAGCTCTCTGTTTCTGTCTGTTCTTCTGGCAAGGAAGGCGTAGTTTTTTCTTCTTTCCGAAGCATCGAAAGCCAGACCACCTCTCGATAAATTGAAACGGTGCAAGATAACGAGCGACGCGTCTGCTCATTTTTACGATATCTAAAATGTTGTTATACAATTCATATACTATCCAACTAGCTCGAGCTGGTATTAAGAGTATTAAGAGAGTAAACAAGAGCCTTCTTTCGAAGGTTGCTACGACGGTTTAGTCGGTTTTCGCGACCAGGCAGAGAGAATCGTACGAAATCCATCGAACAGAGGAGCCGACGTTCGAGAAACCCTACCGGTGTACCGCGAGAGTAAAACGGGGCTTCGTCCAAGTATTTCTGCTCTCTGGCGATAATACGCGAGCCTGCTCCGCGTTACATAAATCACGAATCGCTGTCCGAACGATTTTTGCGCGAACGCCAATCTTTATCGGGTTCGGTGGGCGTCGATCCGACCCACTATTTCCCTAATCTCGCAACACCCTATCCATCGCGAGAGTTCGAAAATGTTCAAGGATCGCTTCCGAAGCTGCGAACAGGATTCGTTGTCGCGTCTCGCTGGCTTCTCTACCATTTCTCTACAACCGTAGCGAATGCTTGCTCGATGTTAAACACGGAATATGTTTCTTGTCCCACGAACCACCTTGTCCTCTTCGTTGCACCGTATTCGTTTGTCGAGTAACGTACGCTTACGAGGAATTATCTTTCGATGACCGAGGTACGTAACCTTTGGTTTCTACCCACCGACCGTACGATCGTCGCTTTCCCTTTTCGCGAACGAATCGATTCGATTACTATCGAATTGCCCCGAACGAAGATGTACAGGCGAAGAGGTAAGGCAAGAGCACAAATCGGAATCGTCGAAATTTAATCGTCGCACGCTGGATATCGGCTGTTCGGTCGTTCGTCCGAAATAAATGTTTGAACGTTCGAATCTTTCCAGGTAACGGTCGGACGTGTTTCGATAGTGTCCGAGGTATTGATAAATCGACGATGATTCGATTATAGGAGCAGTTGCGGAAACGGAAGGACGAAGAGGAGAGACAAGAGATACTCAATCGATCGCTTCGCGGATCTAGAAAGTTGCAGGCATTGGAAAGTCACGCGACGAGTCTTTCTGGCCAAGAGAATCCTGCTTACGCTCAAGACGAGGTGACCACCGTTGCCCGTTCGAGCCATGTCGCTGCGAACGCGACGCAAGAAGTCGAGGAGCCTCCCAGACCCCTCAGTGAGTTCTATTTTCTCTTCCGATTTCTTTATCTTTTCCAATATTCCTCGTAAACTTGTCCTTTATTCCTCAAAATCTTTAAACGAATCGAATCGAATCGAATCGAATCGAATCGAATCGAAGGAGAGAGAGCTCGGAGAATCGTTCAGCCTGTATAGCTGTTGTAACGGAGGTTTTCAGTTTGCCTGCCTCCTCGAGACTCGTATTTCAGTAACGTTACAATTAGATAAGCTTCGATTTCTAAACACGCAAGAAGAATCTCGCTTAACCAGTTCGCGTTTCGTATTTCTCAGCGTACGGAGAGGTCGTCGCTACGTTGGAGAGGCTACAGCTTCAGTTACGCAGCATTTCCGGTGCCCTAGGCATCTCTGGTCCAGGAGTAGAGGCCGAATTGGAAGCGGTGCGGACGCTTCTGGTGCAGAGTCGGTTCGCGTCCGCTCTAGCGACCCACCATGTTCTCAAGAACCGACTGAAATCCAACAAGGTTCTGAAACATCACGCCGAGGACGCGTCCAGCTTGGCTCGAGACGTACGTTCGAGAGAAAACATTCGAGAGAATTTATCGATGCAGCTTAATTACGGTAACACGATTTTTAGGTCGTCGATATTCTGGAGAAATGGCAATCGTCCTCGACGACGACGACGAGCGTCGGCGGAGCGGAAACGATCGCCGCCGTAGAAGAGCTGACTGGAATGTTGACGAGCTACGACATGGAAGCTCTCCTTCTCTCCCACGACTCCATCGTCTCGTGCGTGGACGGATTGCAGAGAAAGCAGAGTCCTTCCTCCTCGTCGCCCAGCGGTCCTCCCAGTCCGAATTCCAACTGGAGAGGCTCGCGAGGCGTCGACAACATCAAGATCATCCGAATCGAGAAAACTAACGAACCTTTGGGTGCTACGGTCAGAAACGAGGGAGATGCTGTTATCATAGGTACTCTCGTCCCTTTGCTACCTTCCTGACAGTATCGTTTTCCAATCAGTATCTCTCCTACGAGCATTCTATTCGTCTCTCATCGAGTATAAACGTAATTATGTAACCGTCGTTAAAGGCCGCGTGGTTCGTGGAGGTGCAGCGGACAAGTCTGGACTACTGCACGAAGGGGACGAGGTTCTCGAAGTGAACGGTGTGGAAATGCGCGGCAAAAGCGTGAACGAAGTATGCGACATTCTGGCTGGCATGCAAGGTAGTCTGACGTTCCTCGTGCTTCCGGCTCCCACCAGTCACAGAAACAATTTGTCGAACAGAAGGGAGGACACCAATCAGGTAAATTTCTAATCGTACAGAATACGCGGACGAAAGATCGACATCGTCTTCTTTTTTTCAGATACAACATATACGAGCTCATTTCGATTACGATCCGGAGGAAGATCCTTATATCCCTTGTCGAGAGTTGGGTGTCAGCTTTCAAAAGGGCGACGTGTTGCACGTGATCTCTCAGGAGGACCCTAACTGGTGGCAGGCGTACAGAGAGGGAGAAGAGGATCAGACGCTGGCTGGCTTAATACCCAGCAAAGCTTTCCAGCATCAGTACGTTGATCAGTCGCGCGGTAAACAATTGATTTGTCTTTTAAGTGAAATTCTGTCTGTTTTGTCGCAGACGAGAATCCATGAAACAAACCATCGCCGGTGACAAATCGACGGTACGCGGTTCGAAAAAGTCCAGTACGTTGCTGTGCGCCAGAAAGAATCCAAAGAAGAAAAAACGAAACAAATTCGGGGCAAACTACAACGACGACGGCTATCCGCATTACGCGACAACTGCCATCGATGGTACACGCCCATAGAATATAGAATAGCGAAATTACACGACGATCGATTTATTATTCGGACAATAATTAAAATAATTAAAATAATTAAAATAATTAAAATAATTAAATCATCCGAATCGAGAAAACTAACGAACCTTTGGGTGCTACGGTCAGAAACGAGGGAGATGCTGTTATCATAGGTACTCTCGTCCCTTTGCTACCTTCCTGACAGTATCGTTTTCCAATCAGTATCTCTCCTACGAGCATTCTATTCGTCTCTCATCGAGTATAAACGTAATTATGTAACCGTCGTTAAAGGCCGCGTGGTTCGTGGAGGTGCAGCGGACAAGTCTGGACTACTGCACGAAGGGGACGAGGTTCTCGAAGTGAACGGTGTGGAAATGCGCGGCAAAAGCGTGAACGAAGTATGCGACATTCTGGCTGGCATGCAAGGTAGTCTGACGTTCCTCGTGCTTCCGGCTCCCACCAGTCACAGAAACAATTTGTCGAACAGAAGGGAGGACACCAATCAGGTAAATTTCTAATCGTACAGAATACGCGGACGAAAGATCGACATCGTCTTCTTTTTTTCAGATACAACATATACGAGCTCATTTCGATTACGATCCGGAGGAAGATCCTTATATCCCTTGTCGAGAGTTGGGTGTCAGCTTTCAAAAGGGCGACGTGTTGCACGTGATCTCTCAGGAGGACCCTAACTGGTGGCAGGCGTACAGAGAGGGAGAAGAGGATCAGACGCTGGCTGGCTTAATACCCAGCAAAGCTTTCCAGCATCAGTACGTTGATCAGTCGCGCGGTAAACAATTGATTTGTCTTTTAAGTGAAATTCTGTCTGTTTTGTCGCAGACGAGAATCCATGAAACAAACCATCGCCGGTGACAAATCGACGGTACGCGGTTCGAAAAAGTCCAGTACGTTGCTGTGCGCCAGAAAGAATCCAAAGAAGAAAAAACGAAACAAATTCGGGGCAAACTACAACGACGACGGCTATCCGCATTACGCGACAACTGCCATCGATGGTACACGCCCATAGAATATAGAATAGCGAAATTACACGACGATCGATTTATTATTCGGACAATAATTAAAATAATTAAAATAATTAAAATAATTAAAATAATTAAAATAATTAATAATTATTATTATGTTACCACAGATTACGACAGCGAGGAGGTGCTAACGTACGAGGAAGTAGCGCTTTACTATCCCAGGGCAAATCATAAGAGACCGATCGTGCTGATAGGGCCACCGAATATCGGACGACACGAATTGAGACAACGACTGATGCAGGACAGCGAACGTTTTGCGGCAGCCATTCCTCGTAAGTGATATCGTTCGTTCGTTTCGAAAACGTATGGTTTGAAAAATTCGCGTCTTTCTCCTTCCCGTTAGACACCAGTCGTCCCAGGAAGGATTCCGAAGTGGACGGCCAAGACTACCACTTCATCTCCCGTTCTCAATTCGAGTCGGACATTCTGTGTCGAAAGTTCGTCGAGCACGGCGAATACGAGAAGGCGTATTACGGCACATCGGTGGAGGCTATCCGATCCGTCGTCAACTCCGGCAAAATCTGTGTTCTTAATCTCCATCCGCAGAGCCTGAAGATCCTGCGTAACTCGGACTTGAAGCCTTACGTAGTGTTCGTCGCGCCACCGAGCTTGGAGAAACTTCGACAAAAGAGGATCAAGAACAACGAAAGTTACAAGGAGGAAGAATTGAAGGACATAATAGAGAAAGCGCGAGAAATGGAGGACAAGTACGGTCACCTGTTCGACATGATCATCATAAACACCGACACGGACCGAGCTTACAATCAGTTGTTAACGGAGATCAATTCGTTGGAGAGGGAACCCCAGTGGGTCCCCGCGTCTTGGATACAATAAAACCTTTCGACGCGACAGCCTTTCGAACCATCGAATCAGATTTTCGCTGGAACTCGCGACGAAGGCCAGTAGTATTCGCGACTCGAGAGAGGCGACTCGAAAGTCTGACTGGAAGAAATTGTCGAAAGGACAGGTTTTTCTACCGGTGCCTGCTGTGTTATACACGATATTACGTTTCGTAGAGTCGCCAGGCTGCCGTACTCCAAGTACCGGTGCTTCGGTGCAGTCTTCCGTGTCGTATTTGGTGCCATTGGATGCTCGAGGATCGTTCGTTCCTCGAGTTCGAGCTTCGCATAGCGTCGCGTGGAAACAGATACGCGAGATAAATAACCTCGTCTCTGGAGTCGAATAAATCCCAAAGAAAATCCTTTGGTTGTCGATGCACGACGCACGTCTCTCGAGGATTTCACTCTGCACAATTTGTGTTCGCGAGAGATACGGTATTGCCTTTCTAAACGGCTACGTTTCTACCTTTCCTCGTAGAAGAAACGGCGTTTTCGCTCGTACAAAAGTAACATTCACGGTTAACTGTTCGCGGTCCAACTTATCGTAATATCGGTTTCCATCGTTCTCTCTTATTTGAAAAACTACGCTTCTGCTGAAATAAACTCGGCCATTTAAACGGGCAATATCGCAATCTCGAAGAAAATATGTCGCTACGGTTCCACGTAAGATACTAACGTTTCCCAAAGATGTGAATCTTGAAAAAGATCGCCCCCTCGTTCTTTCAGGAAATCGTCGCATTTTTCTAACGCGCGGAACCCGAAAGAATCCTGTTACGCGCTCGTGCGCGCGCGCGCGCTTACGGAAAGAACGCGTTCGCGGCCGCTTTTTTGTCGCGTAACATTCAGTAGTTTCGAAGAAGTCTTACGTAAAGGAACGTCACGCTGTACTTTAGCCCGGAAATCTCGCGAATCGTTCGCGATCAACGTCTCTTGGTACTTATAATTCGTGTGAACTAGTAAACTCGAAGATGGCGGAACACTCGTAAACGTTTCATCGTTCGCCCTAGGCACTCTCTCGTGTTTGTTTAGAGATGAAGAAATCATACCTTCTGCCCCTCCCTACCCCCGTAGATCCTCGTTAAATGATCGATAGACTTAGGCTCGTGTGTGAACCAGCGTAAACAGATGTTTGAGAAACTTTGGATTAAAACGAAAAAAAGAAAAAAGAAAAAAAAACATAACAAAGACGACGAAGAAGAAGCGGAGGAAGAAGGAGAAAAAGGAAAAGAAGTTCTACGGTATTTATTACGTTGCTTTCTTCGATACATAAAAGTTTCTTTCGTTCTTTTTTTTTCTTTCTCGTCTGATGTCGCGGTTTGCGTCGGTCACGTATTATTCACGAACCATTTGCATCTTCTTTAGGCGACTAGCAATAACGAAGGATGTAAAAATCGTGGCCCCAGGGGAAGAAAGTAATAATCGTACGATGATCGATCGGTTTCGGTTGCGCGAGCAAATAATTTGCCAGGGTAGTTTAACCCTTTCGCTGCGGACCACGTACACGGGGTGTCAGACTGAAAATTCATTTCGATCGAAGAAACGAAGAAAAGGTCCTGTATCGTTTTGTAATTAAAGGTTCTCGTTGACGAGATACACGGGATGAGAAATTTGCTGCTGCTTAATTTTACCGGGGTAACATGTTCAGCGCGTAGCCCGTTAAACGACTAATGTCGCGGCGAAAGGGTCCGTTTCGGTGCCAGAAGAATAGGAGAAAGAAAAGCGAGAAAACGATATCGTTTTTACAGTCTGTCCGTTTGACTTCAGGTAGGAAATCGCGCACGATGTATTGTCGGAAGTATTGTGCCAAGTAACGGATCGCGCGTTCAACGGACACGTAAAACCTGCGATGTGCCAAACTATCGTCTGGATATTCCCAGACGGTTCCCGTCCAGGGAAAAGTTGAAGTTTCCGAAAGAACCAGCGAAATAGAGAAAGGATGAGAGAGAGAAAGAGAGCGAAACAGAATGGGAAACACGCTCAACGGCACCTTCGTATCTGTCATTATATTGATTCTGTAAATATTTGTGCACTTGTATAGAAAAAAGAGATGATGAATAAGAAGTTTATCGTTATTATTATTATTAACTATTATTATTATTATTATTATTATTATCATTATCATTATCATTATCATTATATTACCATTGCTAATAAATTATCATCGACGTGTTCATCATTATCCTGAAACGCGCGACGAAGCAGACAAAGGTAGGTTAAAATGCTTTATTATTTAAATTGAAATGACAGCAACGCCTAATAAAGTATGCTCTATAAGTTAAGTAAACCAAATAAATTAACGTTATTTTTTATTTACGATTCGTAGCGTACTTGCTGTTTAATACTATTCGCGTCTACGTTATCTTCTATAACTTTAAAACAGACTATCTATAGATAAAGTAAATTTTCAATTAATTCCATCTTATCGTGATAAGAAAAGGAAGAAAAAATTCTTCCGGCACTCCTGATGATATTATTGGCTTCCAAGATGAAAATATCAATATTCGATAGATTAGTCTGAAAACGGTAGGTATACGGCAGAAAGTACTACTAGCGCCATCTAGCGGTAGGAACCAGGAACTATTTTTCAAGTAGCAGGAGCGCAGAAAGGTATAGGAGGTATGCGGAATAAGAGGTGAATCCCGCGCAAACCAGCGCGCATGCGCAGTAGCGTCGCGTCACTCCGTATACACATCAATATGCATATACAACAAATGTTAATTACTCACTTTCTGAGCATAATTTATGAACTTTTATGACTAAAGAATGATCTGCGATTCATTAGCTACGTTCCCATATTATATTTATTCAGATGTTTTACGGAATTAATTAGTTATTAATATTACAGTACTACGCGCCGCGTCATTCGGCACACACAAACTCATGTAGAATAATTACTTAATTATACATTTTCTAAATATAATTTATGCACTTTTATGATTAAAGAATGATCAGTGGATTACTAGCTACTTTCTCATATCTCATTTGTTCAGATTTGTACTGACAGTAATTAGTTGTTAATGAACATTCCATTACAAGTCGGCATGTCATTGAGTACACATGAGCTCATTAAAAATAATTAATTACATGTTTTCCATACATAATTTATCGATTTTCATGATTATATAATAATCTGTGATCTCGTAGCTATTTTTTCATATCATATTTGTCCACCATTTTATTGGAAATAATTAGTTATTAATATTTCGTTGCAAGTGGCGTAGCCGTATGGTATTCTATTGTACGTATATGTATAGAATAAACCGGTTAACACAGGAAAATTTCGGTCGGTGGGGTCTAGCGCTGGGGTACCAGGATCTACTTTTAGTATCAGGATCGCAGGAAAGTAAAGGAGGTATGCGAAGTAAGAGGTATCCCGCTCAAACCAGCGCGCATGCGCAGTAACAGGTGCGCCGCGCAGCGGTGCGCATGCGCAGTAGCGTCGCGTCACTCGATATATACGATAATATACACATAGGAAAAATGTTAATTACTCATTTTCTAGAAACAATTTATGAACTTTTATGATTAAAGAATGATCTATGATTCATTAGCTACTTTCTCATATCATATTTGTTCAAGTTTCTTGCGGAATTAATTAGTTATTAATGATTTTTGTACCGTAAGTCGGCCTGCCATGCGGTATAAAGAAGCTAATTAATACTATTAATTACGCTCTTTCCAAGCATAATTTATGCACTTTTATGATCGAAGAATGATCTATGGTTCATTAATTACTTTCTCATATCGTATTTGTTGAGAATATTATGGCGAATAATTAGTTATCAATGAAATTTCCACCGTAAGTAGCCGCGTCGTATGAGCTAATATAGAATAATTAATTACACGCTTTCTGAGTGCACTTTATGCACTTTTTTGAAAAGAATAATGGTCAGTGATTTCTTAGCTATTTTGCTATATCATAAAAGTGCATAAAATGTACTCAGAAAGCGTGTAATTAATTATTCCAAATTAGCTCATACGACTCGACGGCTTGCGGTGGAAATTTTATTAATAACTAGTTATTCGGAATAATAATTTGAACAAATACGATATGAGAAAGTAATTAATGAACCATAGATCATTCTTCGATCATAAAAGTGGATAAATTATGCTTTGAAAAAGCGTAATTAATGATTTTAATTAGCTCCTGTATGCCGCATGACACTCCGACCTTCGATACAAAAATCATTAATAACTAATTAATTCCGCAAGAAACCTGAACAAGTATGATATGAGAAAGTAGCTACGGAATCACTGAACACTCTTCAATCATAAAAGTTGATAAATTGTGCTCAGAAAGTGAGTAATTAACTTTTTTTGTATATGCATATTTATGTGTATACGGAGTGACGCGACGCTACTGCGCATGCGCGCTGGTTTGCGCGGGATACCTCTTACTCCGCATACCTCCTTTACCTTTCTGCGCTCCTGTTACTTGAAAAATAGTTCCTGGTTCCTACCGCTAGATGGCGCTAGTAGTACTTTCTGCCGTATACCTACCGTTTTCGGACTAATCTATCGAATATTGATTTTTTCATCTCGAAAGCCAATAATATGCTCAGGAATGCCACGTTAGTTAATTTCAAGTGGAATATTCTATCGAGATCGTGGAATATTCTGCTTGCCTCAGAAATACGCAAAAACTACTAGTGTTCTTTTCACTTATTTTTTTCGTGATGTCGTGATGGCGTTCATTGTTAGATGGCGGTAGCAGTACGATTTTGTTTCGCTGCGCGCTAAATACGACATTTGCATATACGAATATTTAAATTGCACGGCATTTACAGACTCCTAAAACACTTAGAAAATAGAAATCCACGTGATTGGATAATAGGATGAAATAATAACTCTTATAATCGTTCGTTGTTTATTCTTCCATCGACATTCGCTTATTACTTGGTCAGTTTGGAACTTTCAATTCTTTCTAACGATATCGAATGTTCATCGTTGATCCGAATTCGTTATAAACTGTTGGGACATTATGCGATGGCGACAATAGTCGATTAAGATCTACGCGATTACCGGTAATTGTAGTAATAAAGTTAAAAATTGGAATGTCCAATAAGAATAACGATTGGAACGGTTCGCGCGGCAATATTAGCGTACTCCGGAGATTCTTTCGTAATTGGTGATATAAGAATTTAATCGGATCCGTGGTTAAAACGGCCGAAATAATGATCGATTTCTCGTCGCGTTCTAAGAAAGGATCGATCGGATCGACGCGTCGCGGTGGTCGCGAAAGGTTTATCCGTCGAAGAAGGGTAGTACTGTTCGAAAGAAGGGGTCAGGAGGTTGGTTGGGGCGTCGGTGGCGTCGGTGGGCGTCGTGGTACGCGCATGTTTCTCTCGCGAAACGGATCGATGCTGGAAATAGCTCGACCCGCAGGAGAGAGAGCGAGTACGAGGTGAGTCGGCTTCGCTTTCGGCCAGGGCCTTCGTGGCTCTCCACGCCCGCTGTCGCTGCCTCTTTCCTCTTCTTCTTTATTCGAGACGAAGGGAAAAAGCACCCCCCGGTAACCAACTTCGACTCCACTCGTTAATTCGTCGGTCGACTCGTTCTCTGTTTCGCGTTCCGCGAGCTTCCTCCATCGACCTTGTTCTTCCTATCCGCGCGATACCAATCTCTTCTACTTCGCGACTCGTTACTCGTCCGGTGGTGGTTCCATTCTCTGAAAAATAAGTGCGTGTACGTTAACTCTGGACAATCGAAGGACCAACAGGCGGGCAAATAGAACAGAGAGACGGGGTCTGTCGTTCGCGGGATGAATCGAGAAAAATGTGCGTCGTACCGATGTGGCTGACTAAGCTGGGATCGTAAGTACTCTGATCGCGAAAGATTTAGGCGAATCCAGGCTTTTCAACGTTTAGCTGAAACTTATAGATTTTCGGCTGTCGTACGCGACATCTACGCTTCTACCGTCGATTGATCCGTTCTAGAAAATAGACGACACACGCTAAAATGTCCTACACCTTCTTGTTCGTTCTTAACACGGATTCTTGCAGCTTCTCTTTCGCTTTCGTTTCGTCGAACGATTTCCACCGCCAACTGTTCGAATGTCCAGCTAGCTTTCCTTCTAGGGTTTCGTTCGAGCGACGCTTTTAGAGTTTCCTCGAGAACATTCGCGTTATCGTCGACGAACAGTTTTTCCTCCATTTCATTCTCCGATATAGGCTATTTAAAACTCGACGTTTTTTCGATCGATCCGATTCTAATCGACTTCGAAACGTCGCCGATCGCCACCGGTGACCTCGTGGCCGAGTCGAGACCTCCTGCAAACCTATTATTATTTATTTGTCTAAAACGGAACTCTATTCCGTCGAATAGAGTCGTTGGTTCGACGAACTAACAAAAATTACGTAATTTACGGGAAAATAACAGATCCGTGTAAGTTCGTGAACGTAGCTGAAACAGCGACGATCATTGCTAAGACGATAACTCATTGAAAACGAGGCTTGATCGATACGCTTTGCCCTTCGTTACTTATTCATTTTCTCTTCCACGAGTTCGCTGAAAGAAACGCACGTTCGCCTTCGGGACTAGCCTCGTTTTTCCTAGCAACCCTCCGGTAACGCGTTCACCGAACAATTCCCCGATTTCGCGATGGAACTTTTACGTATAGAAGATAAACACTTCAGACATGAAATCTAAGAAATAAGGGAGATTGTCGAGGAACATGCAACGTTCGTGCTGATTTCACGCGTGCGCCTTTGTTCGACAAGCGTCAGAGGATATTCGAGGTACATTCTTCGTTGAAAAGTTTCTCAATTACGTCATAAATTCTGCGGTGCTAGTAGAGAATTTTCAGTTTTCCGTTAAATCAAATTCATTCGTCGAAGAAATTCGTTTTCGAATTATACGCTTCCCACTAACCTTAATAGAAGAAATTCTATTCGTACAATTCCGAATCGTTTCGCAAGATTTTCTAACCATAATTTCCTCGCGTACGCAACGTTCCGTCGCGTGACAAATTTTTGTAGCAGAGTTTTCTGAAACACGCTCCGAATTCGGTATGGGGTTTCGATCTTCTAAATATAAATCGGCATGCGCGGCATTTCTTCCTCTTTCTTTGAGTTTCGTGACCTCGTTCCGGTAGAACCTGTGCTAGAATTTTTCCAATTATAACGTGTGCCATCGTAGTACCTCTTCTCCTCTTCCAAGTCTCGCCTGTCCTGTAAATAATTCGTCCGTTTCAGTCGGAGTCTAGCAAATGGCTAGGATCAAATAAGATACCGGTTAACGAAGGCAATAGTAATTAGTACCGATAACAAGCGCCGGCATCGATTCTGTGTGTCGTGACACGAACCATCGTGATCGATAATCCCTATTCACCCGGTGACGCTGGGACCAAATTTAATTATCTGGATCTCGTAGATAAGAATAGACCTTATCATGCTGAGCTATCGACATCTTCTGTGCGAACATCTTCGTTGAATTTTTCTCTCGTAAGATGGTGGTTATTAAATCGTCCGGTTCTATTTTCGACTCCGCTAGTTCGTTTTCGAGAAATCTGTAAAATTACGTTTATAAAGAATCGGTATACGAGTAATGTTTAATTCGATTCTTGAGGTGGAGCCACGGTAGGATCAGATGATGTGACCCTGTTCGAATTAAACACGAACATCTATTTCAGTTTTTGGAAAAGTTTTATGTCGTACAGATCCGAACAGCAAAGTGTGTACGAAAGGAGCAGGAAGGAGAAGCACGTGCTCGAAATTAGTACAGGACCGATGATACGCCGTCACTAGGTACACCTGCATGTGCGACAGGGAAAAGTTAGAATCGATAACGGGCACAGGAATCGGCCGACTTCGTCACAATTTCACCTACAACCGGTGTTCTAATTCTATCAGACGTCCCTTGAAAATCGATTCGCTTCGCTCCGGTGAACGCTGCAACCAACCACCGGATCAACTTCTTTTCTTTTCAGGGAAAGTGACGGCTACGTGTTAATTAAACAACTCCCGATATATTTTCCAAGCAATTTCGAAACATTCGTTCGATATGAAAAACAACGCGTACTCACCACCGAATGTTCCCGAGGGAAGAAAAACCTGAAACAAAAAGAATAAAACGAGCTAATTACGTTCTCTGTTCGAGTCGGATTAATAACGCTAAATACTACTATCGCATAAAACTTTAAGCTCCTTATCTCCGTCACAGATGCTACTGTAACGAATATCGAATCGAGGAGCTATAAATAGAATCCTCGAAGCTCTGGAAACGAATATGTACATGTTGTGAACCACCGAAAAGCAAAATGTTCCTTAAAGCTTTCTCCCCTTTAAACGGAATCGATCGAAAAGACATTAAAAGGGTGAATTGTTCGTTACGAATGGTCGCAAAAAGCGTAAAGGAAGGGTAACATTTACACGGATACGGTACTGCGATCGATTAGTCTGTATTCTGGCAACGATCCCATGACGCGTGCACGTCCGAGGCGAAGATTCGTGTCGGTAGCTTGAAAAATCCGACAACCGGCACATCGTTCGAATCGAATCGAACTTCGAGTATCGTTAAACTTCCTTTTCCTTCTCGATCGTCCCTAACGATTCGCTTTTCGCGGTCACGGATCGCGAGTCTCTTCAGCATCGACGACGTCGAGATACGTGTTTCGCGACGCGAGCGCGTTTAAACAAGGGCAAGAGAAATTTAGCACGGCTCGCTAAATAAAGATCGGTAGTGTGCAACAAGTATTGATGAGGATACGGCAAAAGTATGTACTTTCGAGAACGTCCAGTTACCAATCTTTAGAAATGTCCGTTTGAACGTTAACCCTTAAAGGTCGAAGGTGTTCCGCTATACGTATCTACATATACATACAGGAAATACACTAAAAACATACTGATTCTAATTTTCTTCGGTCATTAAGGATTAATCGATCGTAGATGGAATATTTGGTAGTTTCGTCGGTATGTAGTTGATTCGATAATCCTAATAGTTGACGTTCGCGAACGTAGTTTAGACGCAGCCGAGAATGTTGCACGAAATTGGTTTCGACGTTGCGTTAGTCGGTAATTCGAAAAGCTTGACGATTCGAAAACGATTGATTACAGGGGCCTCGCGCGTACCACGTTAGCTCTTAGAGGATGCACAAGCTAGCCAAGGGCCTGAAGAAGAAGAAAAAGCAGAAGAAGGGTAAGAAGGGGGCAGAGGAAGAAGAGTTTGATCCGGAGGAGCTCGAGCGTTACAGACGCGAGCGGGCGGAGGCCCAGCAGAAAGCCGAGCAGTCTGGCGAGCAGTCCAACAGCGCCACCTCCGACGAGTGGAAGAAATTCGAAGCGTTAACGGCCGGTGTCGATTCGATTCTGAAAAAGACCCAAGGTGATCTAGATCGTATAAAATCGACCTCTTTCTTCCAACGGAAACCACCGTTAGAGGAGGAGAAGAAGGAGGAGCAGGATCAAGAGGAGACCGGCAAGTCATCCTCGAAGAAGTGGGTCGGTTTTGACGAGGAGGGGAATCCCATCGAGGAAGAGCCACCAGATTTCGAGGGTAAAGGAAAGAAGAAGGACGAGAAACCGTTGGTGAACGAGGACGGTTTCGTTGATATTTCCGAAGACGAAGATGAACAAGAGAACTCTGGAGAAGAGGACATCTTCGACACCACTTACGTGGATGTTCTCCAGAACATCGACGTTCAATTAGCTTACATCCCGGACAGTCCAACCGAACAAGAGGCTGGAGACGACCCTTTCGATACCACCAACGCGGACAAGGTACTGAAGACCGTCGACAAGAAGGGGAACAGATTAGTTAGTCTAGGCAACGCGGTCGAGGTACTCTCCGGAAGGGTGGACTACGTGAGTTCCTGCAAAATCTCGAAAGGCAGAAGGCCCAGAATTCAGCAGGATCTGTTGTTAGACGATTTCGAGGTAGCCGAGAAACCGGAAGACAGCAACGCGGTCCCGGAACCTGTTCAAGTCGAGAAAACCTTGCTGGACGATGACAGCGATCTTCCGGATATCCCTGTAGATCTGACCAAGCTTCCGGCCGTGCTACCCAGACCAGCCAGTCCTGCCGTCCTCGGGGACAACGCTATCGCGGAGAACGAACCGGCCAACGGGCCCTTGGACATCTCGGAATTCGAAGTCCTGAAAGAGAAGACCATCTTAGAGGAGATACCCGTGTTGGACGAAGAGTTCGATCTAAACGCGGAACCCGAAGTACCGGTACATCTCGAGGAGGCCGAGGATCCGTTCGGAAGCAAAGAACCGGAGACGGTCGACTTCCAGGCGGAGATAATCGAGGTTAGCTTCGAGACAGCCACCTTCGTCGACGAGGAGGATCCCTTCGATACCACGTTCGCCGAAAATATTCTTCCTGGAAAGACAGAGTTGAAGTTGATCGAGAAGAACTTGGAAGAGTTACCTGTGTCGGAGGTGACGATATCCTTAACCGATCCCGCTGGTCTGAACAGAGACTACGAGACCGGTTTGTTGAAGGAAGAGAATGGGATACAGCTTACCGGTTTGCAGGGGAAGAAAGATCTTTTAGGAGGATCGACGACCGATCTTAGCCAGCTCGCGGACGAACCCATCGCGCCGGTGGAAGACATCAGTTACGTGGATCCGTTCGACACTTCGGCCGTGAAAGAGATTCCACCTGGAAAGACGGAACTGAAGTTTCTGGAGAAAGAACTGCTCGGCGAACAGGAGCTTACCGCATCGCTGGAGGACGACGATTTTGACCCGAGAAAAGACGAGCAACCGGTCGCTCCGATCGCTCCGGTCCAACCAGCTCCACCGAGACCTTCTGTCCCACCCGCGCCGATTAAACCAACGTTCAAAGTCGAATTTAACGACGACGAACCGAGCGAGGAGAACGCGGCAGAGTCTGGTAATCGCGGACGAAGGACATCCAGACCGGAAGTCCTCGAATTAGCTCCGACCAAGGCGGTCGCCTTCGAACTACCGACACCGTCTAAGCGTCCCGATCTCCTTGCCACCAGCGAAGAAGAGAAAGCGTTGCCCTCGAAACCTCTCACTCCCTATTACTCGCAAAAGTCGATCGAAGAAGTTTTACCGATCGAGGAAGAGGAAGTCGACGTGGATCCGTTTGACACGAGCTTCGTGGCCAAAGTAGCTCCCGGGAAAACCGAGTTGAAGTTGATAGAGTCGGAGTTGTTGAAACAGGAGACCAGATTGCCTCACAGTTTAAGCGACCACGATTTCGATCCCAGAGCCGAGAGTGAACCGACGAGGAGGCAAAGCGATTTCACAGCTAGCTCCATCAGACCGGGTAACCTGAAGATTGCCGAACTACCGAGATCGAAAGAAAGCTTGTTGGACGCGGAGATCGAGGTGGATGCTAAGCCACTGACCCCTCGGATCGAGTCCCAACCTATCGAGGAAGAAGCGATCTCTTACGCGGACCCGTTCGACACCTCCATCGCTACGAATATCCTTCCTGGGAAGGCAGAGTTGAAGATCCTAGAGAGCGAACTGCAGCAGATACCCGAGGAGATCCCCGTGCGGCCAGCAACGATCGCTTTGGCGGCGATCGTCAAGAGCACCGTTCCAGAAATCGACGACTTCGACCCCAGGGCAGAGGAGAAAAACGAATCTAAGGACTTTTTGTCTATCGACGATCAAGACCACGAAGCGAAAGTGTTGACTCCTGTACAGAACGAGAGCTTTAGTCTGGCCGAGGAGGTGGATCCGTTCGATACCAGTTTCGCTACCGTCGAACCGGGAAAGATCGAGCTTAAACTGTTGGAGTCCGAGTTGATGGAGAAGTAGACAGACCGTTCGCGAAAGTAGTTGTTGCGGGAAACTAACGTTAAATTTAATCAACTAATTGAGAGTAAATTAGCCCGTTGCCAACATGGATTCGAAAGGAGGAAACCCCTTCCTGATGGACGACTACGGAGCCGAGTCGAACGACGGCATGACCGGACAGACCTCCAATCCGTTTCTGCAGGATTTCACGGAGACGGAGCCAACCGGTGGCAGCGAGAATCCGTTCTTGAATTTCGCCGGGGACCAGTCATACCAGACGACGATCGACTCGACGAATCCTTTCGCCTCTTTCGCCGCGGACACCACCGCCGCGCCGACTACCGCCTTCGAAACGACCACCACCGATACCTCGAACATCAACATATTCTCCGACCAATCAGCGAATATCTTCGTGACGACCAGCGAGTCCAGCACGAATCTGTTCGAGGCAGCAGCCCCGTCGCAGGAAATGTTCGGGCAACCTGCGGCTCCTGCGACTCCTGCAGCTGCGACAACAGCACCGGCTGCTCAAGCGAAAAATGGGAAACCACCATCCAGACCGCCACCACCGAGGCCTCAACCACCGGCACCACCTAAAAACACCAAGGATCTGATCTTATCCGTGACAGGCGCGATGGACGCTACTTCGAACCATCTTCTGGATAGACTGCAGGTTGGTGCACACCTATTTACTTATTTACTTATTGCTTCGGAAATTTCGCAGAATTAGTTTTATTTAACCTTTTACCGCAGGCAACGAGAACACCCAGTCCTACCTTGATGCACTCTCCATCGCCCACACCGGAGCACAGTTTCGCGGACCTTCTGGACGTCGACTCGAACGTTCCTGACTTGATGTCCGACGATAGCAAAATGGTAGAACCTTCGAAGAATCAAAATATCCTGGATCTTTTCGACGCTCCCAACACGGACACGACCACTACCACGATCTTCTCCACTCCTATGACTACCGCGGACACTGGCAGTTTAGATACCGGGACCACCGCCGTCACCAGTGCCGCCGTGCAAGAAAATCCGTTCGCCAGCAGAACGGAACAGGAAACGTCCGACGATCAGGAGGATGCGTTTAAATCGGATTATCCGGATGCGGTGTCCGTAACCAGCGAAAAAAGGCCTTCGGTCGCTTCCACGACAGATGCACTGTGGACCGAACCTGGATCCAAGACTGCTCTCGACTTAGATTTCACCGGAGAAGGCGAAGCGGTCGGGGAAAGTCAGCCGTCGACGACGGCGTTACCGACGACGACCACGACCACGACCACGGAATCCACGTTCTTCTCGTTGGCGGAGACGACCTCTGCTGGTTCGTTCTCGACCGCTCCGATCCAACCGACTACCACGCAACAACCATTGTTCGACACTACGAACATTGCGGCGGATCTACTCGGTGATTTCGGTGAATCAACCAAGGACATCGACGTAACGGCGACCAGTCCGATCCCTGGCGCCGAGTTTCCCATCGGCGAAGCTTACAAACCCGAGGAGCAACTGGACAACTTCGCAGCTACCACGAAAGCTATCGAGAATACCAGCGACGCCTTCGACATCTTCGCGTCAAAGTTTGACAAGGCTGCAGAATCTGAAAGCAACGCCGGTGATCCGTTCTTGGACGCGTTCGGAGGTGGACCCACTGCAATGGACACGTCCAGTGACGGTAAATTAGTTTTAAATTAATTTTAACCGTTCAAGTAATATTAGTTGCAAGCGAATCGTTCGAAACATCGCGTACCGTTCACAGTCTGGGGAGACTCGTCCGCGGCTGGCTCGGAAACGGCGGTTACCGGTTTCGGAGAAGCCGATGGCTTCGACTCCTTCTTGAGCATGACCGCCCCTCCGGCGGAACCGAAG